GTTTTAATGTTTTGGAAATATTTAGAAGATTAAGAAAAAGAAAAGGGGATCGTTGGCAAATCTGTTCAAGATGGAGAAATATGAAACGATAGAAATTATAGGAGGTGGGAGTTACGGCGTGGTGATGAAATGCAAACATCGTGAGACTGGGCAATACGTGGCCGTAAAGAAATTTCTGGAGACCGAGGAGGACCACCAAGTGCGAGAAATGGCATTTCGTGAGATCAGGATGTTGAAAGTACCTTAGAAAAACTTCATCGAGCTAATTTTATAATTTTTCACGAGCACGAGAGAGTGAGAATGAGGATAGGCGTCTGTACTTGCAGAGGCTGTGCCACGAGAATCTAGTAAATATGATCGAAGTGTTTCGTTGTAGGAAACGATTTTATCTCGTGTTCGAGCATTTGGATCACACGTTGCTGGACGAGCTGGAAATCGTCAAACACGGTCTAGGTCGCGAGGTGTCCCAACGACATATTTACCAAGTGCTTCGAGGCTTGAGCTTCTGCCACAGTAGCAACGTAAGTGAATCAGAACAGAAATTTCTACGAGTTTTGCGCGAGATCCTCAGAAGCTAAATTTCAGATCAAACTTCATTTTTTATTAATTTCACTTCACGAGCTTGTGTCCAGATATTCTGCCACAAAAGTTCGACAATTTCAAATATTACAAAGCTGCAATACACGGAGATTTTCTCTATTTCACTCAATTTATGAAGAGTTGATCAATGCCTTCCTTCTATCAAGATTCCAAACGAAACTTCAAAAAGTTAGAAAATCACTGAAGCTTCTCTGTCTTCCTAACGATCGTTTAGGCTTATCTTATCTTGTACAAATGTCCCAACACTCATGAACGAGCGGTTCCTTGAGATTAAAAAGATACCTGACACCCCCGTTAGATAATGCACCGTGATATCAAGCCGGAGAATGTCCTGGTATCTCCGCACGGTGTGGTGAAACTCTGTGACTTTGGGTTTGCACGTTTCATAAGTACTGGCGACGAGTCTTGCACGGATTATGTGGCGACAAGGTGGTATCGAGCGCCGGAACTTCTTGTTGGCGACTCACGATATGGCAAAGCAGTGGACGTTTGGGCAGTTGGCTGTCTTTACGCGGAAATGGTGACGGGAGATCCTCTGTTCCCCGGTGACAGCGACGTGGATCAACTCTATCGAATAACCAAAGTCCTTGGTATGTCTTGCCATCCGTCAGATCTTTAAGAACATCGCTCTCTAAGTCTAAGATCCTTTTTTTTTTTTTTTTTTTTTTTTTACGTGGAGGAAATCTTCGATAAGACACCTGAGTCTTTTAAGGGAAGACTCAGGTAGTGTCGGATTTTTACCGATTAAAGCCTCCATTGATGGCACGTTGAGAGAGTTCTGTGATCTTTTTATACACACAGAGCTTTCCTCGTGCTGTTGTCCTAAAGGACAATATCTTTTCTCCCGCCCGAATAGGGCTTTCGAACCCTTCAGATTAAGAGTCTGATGCTCTACCAACTGAGTCTAAGATCCTACACAGACGTGAACTGTGAGAATACATACAGAATCTATATTTTCAAATCAATATCAATGCACTTGTGACAATGACTTCTGACTTTATAGACGCGGAAATCGTGTAACAAAGAATCTCTACGTTCGATTTTTAGGGGCACTGTGCACGAAGCATCAAACGATGATGGGCCGTGGCATACCCGGTCAAATGTTGCGTCACGCGATTGCAGACGAATTGATAAAACTACCGCAGTCAGGTGTAACTTCGATTCGTAAATTATTTCCCAGCTGGGACTCGGTGGCCATCAACTTTCTGAATCACTGCCTCCGCATGAATCCCGATCTGAGATCTACGTCGTCAGCGCTCTTGCAACATCCGCTCTTCACGCAAGACGATTTTGCTGATAAGTTCCTCGTACAATTGAGAAACATCATCGCCAAGGAATCTGCTACGAATCCTCTCATGACTAAGAGATTGGTAGAAAGAAAGCCGACTGAATTCCAGCCCTTCTCGAGACAAGTTTGCTGCGGCATCTCTGGGTACAGTCTGTGTTGTCTTCTTCGTCTTCTATTGTTTATCTGAAACACAAATTAATCGACAAATCAGTTGATACGATTGCATCTGAAATTAGATGTTGTTCAGTTCATTGGTACATAAACCACTTCAAATTTTACACTTCATTTGGCGTAATTATTATTTTTCATATTAGTCTAATAGTTAAAATAGTTCTGACTGCGAGATATTCAGTAATTAATTTGTTAATATTCTAACTGCACTTTTTTAAAAAAATTGGATCATCGTTGCTACGAATTATTTCTAGTTTTATTTCTTCATCCGTTCTCTCTATATTTTTCCTCCTTTTTTTTCTCTCTCTTGTTGCAGATGGCACATGCACATCGCCCCGAAAGAGGCGACGAACGAAAGAACGGAAGCCGAAGTGATGGAAACGATGGAATTACATAAGACATCGCCGATGTCGCGCGTGGATCCCTTAAAAAAAGTTTGTTATTTCGATTCTATTTCCACCTTACCAAATACAACCTGTCTTCATAGATTAAAGAGACCAGTCGCTACACAAAAATACATGTATTCGTTGCCTTCTCTTGACTTCAAAGGAGCTTGTAACTTGGTTTCTACCAACAGTAAGGAGAAAATAACTTTGAACAAAAAATAAGATTTTAAACAAGATGCCCGTAAATTGCTCGTCTACACCATTTCATTGGTAATAAAAGAAGCATTTGCTTAATCATTTACTTCGTCATTTTATTAGTAACTGTATTAGCCACTAGCAATCGTATTGATCATTTCCATTAGTATTACTGATATTGGATCGATCTTTTTACATGTTCGTGAGTCGAGTAATTTGAAGAATGTAAAACTACACACGTCGAGATTTTTTGATAAAAGAGAAACAAAAGCTACCTCGTTGTTGTACTTGTATTTTGTAATTACATTTGTAGAAAATAAATTCACCAGCGTAATATTAACTGTCTGTTATTTATAAGTATAATTTATAAGTAATACTACGTTGTATGATATATTGTAACGTGCCTGTGTGGCATTTTTTATAGTTAAATTTTGCATTATTTTTTACAAATACTACTTTTCCATCTACGTTGATACGAGAGTTGCGGTTGTTTTATATTATTTTACATGGATATTACTACTGCGCACTATATTAAATTTTATTGCACCAGATTATATCGTTACTGCGTTATTATACACGTTATTATATCTTGGAATAAATCTCACAGTAACACAAGAGCGAGGCAATTTACGCACTTGTTGCAAATTTAAAAAAAAAAAAAAAATATTTGGCATCGAATATTTCGGGAACCAGAAGGTTTTTTGGATTTTGTGTCAGGAGAATGTGAGGATTGTGGAGGAGGCACGTCACAAATTTTCAACTGTGCTCCTAGTGTTTAACATTTTTGGAAGATTTTCAAGATGTATAATAAGAATAATTTTTAATAATCTGCAATTCTATCGGGAGAAAAATTCGTAGAATCTACGTTTAAATATCTTTTAAATATCTTCTAATCTATGTTTGAGTAATACGTTTAAATATCTTTTAAATATTTTCTAATTTATGTTTGAGTAATACGTTTAAATATCTTTTAAATATCTTCTAATTTATGTTTGAGCATCGAACTAAGAATAGCATAGACGAATATTAAATGTTTCAAATTAAGCGTCTGAAATACCGACCAGGAAAAATATCGCTGGTTTTAGTTTTTTAGAGATATGTACCTCGTCTGTGGCATTAGATGTCCAATCTATCCTCTAACAATTAGTTAATGGTTTAAGCAAATTATACTACGTGTAAGTAGTTTAATCTATGATTTTGAAAGTGGGTCGATTTAATCCAGGGGATAAGTAATTAGTTAATTTAGAAAGTTTTAATTGATTTAAAGTGAATTTAGAGGGAATTATGTCTCCCCTATTAGAGTTTTTATAGCAATCTGGATTCATTCTCTAGATGGCAGCATATCTGCGTCCAAAATTACGTATTAAATTTAGTTCCACCTTGTCGGCGCTACGCGACACTGGCGTTTGAATGTCCATAATTTTTCACAAATTTTCATTTGCAAATAATAGAAGCAATTACAAGAATTTATTTGCGTATTTTTACAACTGAATTGTATTTTTCCTTTTAGCTTCCTTTCTATGTTTCATCTAACTTATAATGTTTTCATCTAACCAATCTGTTTGTACGAACAAAAACACGGTGCCATTTTGAGTAAACTGGTTGACGCTTTCGTTGTAATAATTTTTAATTATTCGCAAACTATATGCAATATTAAAAAAATGGTACGTAATGTAAATGTAGCTGAAAGTATAAACAACGATTTTTACAAATTATTTTGAAGCGTAATTTACGTAAAGTAAAAGTGCAAGAATTTATTGATTTGAGGGAGATTGGTGTTGCGGGTAAACTGCGCAATTTTTATATAGAAAGTACTACAAAATCCTTTTATCAATCGAATAAAAATAAAAAAATACTTCTTTTACTGTTAGAATATATTTGCACGAGCTTTTTCTTATCACAACGAACTGAAAAACCTAACTATAGTAATTGTAATTGATTATAGTAACGTAAGAATAAGTAGAAGACTGTTCCACCAAAAATTTAGTCTTAATACAGATAGACTTTTAGCATCCGTTTTTGAAAAATTATTCATCTTTCTCAGCGTGAAATCAATCGCATGAGATTTGTCCATTTCGTTCCCGACCTGCATTGTTTCAACAAGTTTTATAATACTTTACAGTCTGATTGATTTATTAATTTTGCGCAAAGGTTACAAGGTTATACAAGAGAGAAAGAGTCATGCACCAAGGATCGACATACTTGGTCTGAAATGATTTAAATTTTCCTGCTTTTCTTAAAATCCATCTATACCACAGATCAAAGGTTTTCCCAATTTAATCTTGATGGAAACTGGAGGATACAATCTACAAAATGAGAAAACTCTTTAACGCTAAACGTACCGGCATTTTACATATACCTATCTTACCATAAGGGGTCATTTGATCCCTTATGAGTAAACGTTGATTTTTAGAAAGAAATTCTTAATTTATTAAAGGAAATAATTTCTGCAACATAACTTTTTTAGAAAGAAATTCTTAATTTATTAAAGGAAATAATTTGCAACGTAACTTCTGATTTCTAATGAAATACTCAAATATATATTTTTATTTAAAGTAAATTTTGATTGGTACGTTTAGTGTTAAACCAAGCCTTAATATCACACGACTCTTCCTCGCGACTATGGTATTTCTTCGCAATCGATCGAAACACGGGCTGAGATATGAGTCGTTTTCATCGTTTTATTTATTCGTCTCTCGTGGATACAGAGTGGTTTGTTCGGTATAGAATTTTAATTACAATATCCGACATTATTTTATAAAAGTAAATACAATTGTATATCGTTAACAATAATAATGCGCGTAAGTCGATTAACGCACGCTTCAAACGTTGGCTAAAGCATTCACGTTCACCGTAGGAATAGTTTTACAGCTATTACGTTCACACTTATTGGTTTTTTTATTTATTTTTTTTTTTTTTTCGTCTTTAAATACAGTATTTAATTACAAAGGAAGCCGATCGCGAACGCATTTCCAGGCTTATGTACAATTAATAATTATATTATAATATATTAAGCAGAGATCTCAACTCGAGGGGAGTTTTTTTTTCCTTTCTTTTATGTTTTTTCTTTTTTTCTTTTTTTTTTTTTTCCTGTAGGCCTTTCGCGAAACGGTTCGCGATCGCACGAGCAGCGAGCTTTCTTTCTCTATTCTTTCTTTCTTGCTTTTTTTTTGTTCTTCTGTCTGCTCGCTTCCTCAGACTTAATAGAGATTACCTTCGATAACGACGCGTTACACTCGGCTCGCGGTCGTCCTCCAAGCGTCTCTTCTTCTCCTTTCTCTTCTTTTCTCCCGTTCCTTCTCTTGTTCCTCATTTTGTTCTCTCATCATTCTCGATCGCTAATCTAGATACTCCCCAGAAGAGAATCCCAGACCGTTGCATTACTGGTGGATCAACCCGTTCACCTTACGATAAACATCATTCGAACCTGGCACGTTTGTCGCAAAATTCGGAGAGCCAGGGAGAGATCTGGAAAGACAGGCAGCCAGCCAGCCAGGCATGCAAGTTAGGCAGGTAGTATGCAGGCAGGCGGACGGACGGACGGACAGACAGACAGACAGACAGACAGCCAGACGGATAAATAGATAAATAGATAGATAGATAGATAGAGAGGTACAGTAGATATCTATATATACGAAGTTTTAGTATCTTAGAAGATAAAAGATTGATTCACACGCATCCAC